CGGCACACGGCCCATTTCATATATTTCATTATACCCGTCGTTAGCACGACACCGCCCGTAGGTCTTATCATCCTTTACGAGACTTGTCACCGCTCTCCGAGGCCTCACCGGGCTCTCGGGCCGGAGTCCAACATCCCGCCCCTGAACTCATACCCATCATCCCGTAGGAAGGTAAGGTCCATTCGGGGTCCTATCTTATGTGTTACCGCTGTCGGGAGCCTCGTAAGGTCTCCGGTTCGGATTCCACCCTAACCCGTGATCACGATGTAAGTCCATGCTATCCAACCCCGCTCTCTAGAGTCGGGAAGGGCCATGGTCCTTACTAATTACCAATACTCTATCGGCTAATCCTCAAAGACTACCGAATACACCCGTAGGCCAATCCTATTCCTAGGATCAATTTATTATTCACTTTATCTTGGGTATCCCTTAAGGACTACCCCTAGCATCACTTATCCACCTTAGTATCTCTTAAGACTACTTAAGGCTCAACAATTTACAATCCAAACCTTGGATCAATTCTAACATATTTCATTCCAAAACCCCGACTAGTATCATTATACTAGTCGGATAAATCCCAACAAAATCTCATTTCGGTTCATAGTCATGTAGACAATTCTCAAACTAATTTTCCATTGAAAATATAGTTCATATCAATATACAAAATATAATCTTTAATCACTCATATATCCTTATATGAAGTTAAAATTATATTTCAACATAATATTCATAGTTAATCCCTTCATCAAGCCAATATGCTTATATTACATAATCATACACAATTTATTCTTAAATTTGTATATTATGCCCCTTTATTCATTGACAACAATATTTTCATTTAGGCATTATTAATCTTTAATAATCCATGAAAATAACATTTAATTACTTTAGGTAATCTTACGAAATTAACCCAAAGATTATAAACAACATAGTCAGCCATCCTCACCTTATGAAGTGCTGAAATAGTTGTCCTTGTTAAGCCCTTCGATCAATCCCCGTTCTAGGCCGATTAAAGGCAAATTCCTGGACAGTAGCCCCAAAGCCGGGCGGCTTTCACCCAAAGCCGGGCGGCTTTCGTAGTCTGCAACTACGAGCAGCTCCTTTGGAGTGGCGGTTTCCGGTGGTTTCAACTCCTATCGATTCCACGACCCTCCTAAGTTAAATACCACCACTTTATAACAATATTATACACTTTTAAACGTGTATAACTCGTGGTTTAATCCATCATACGATTTCTCAAAAATCATACCACACAAAACTAGTTAAAGAGTGTTTATGGAGTTCTTACCTCAAAACTATTCTTTTCTCCTTGGGTCTTCCTTCTTCCTTGAGCTCGTGTGAAGCTTGCTAGAGCTCTCTCTCCCTCTCTTGGCTTTAGTTGAATGGTTGAGGATGAAGGATGAAAGATGCCTTCTCAATCAACTTCCCAATAATGTGTGGGAATTGAGACATGGGGTGTGAGTTTGTCTCTAGGAGACTTCTCCTCCCAATCATCCGCACCATCCAAATTGTGTGGTCCCCCTCCCATATTATTTGAGTCTAATTAGTGTGTAGAATACCCCAAGTGGGTGTAGGAAATCTCTCCCAATTATTCCTGCTATTTCTGGCCGGTCGGGTCAAAATAGCGCCCAGGTTGTCCAAATATTTTTATCAACTTTAGTTGGCACTTTATTGGGCTTCTATAATTATTACGATGACCCAACTAAACATTTGGTAGCCCATTCCCATATAATGGACTCGATAAATAATTTAATTAATCTCACATTAATTAAATATTCCAATCAATTACACGAATTTTATTCGTTAGGAAATTCAAATACATAACATCTTTAAATTCCAAGTACAATCGGGTGCGGTGTCACATTTTATACATGAACAATTTCAAAATATGTGATAAATAGTCTTTCAGTGAACTCTGTTACCTCGAATCTATGTTAAATTATAGCAAGGAAGCAAATACACTCGACAAAACTTGAGCACACATTATTTGAAATAAATATTTAATTTTTAAGGATCTTCGATGATTTAATCTGTATACATAATAGGATTGTTTAATACGTAAATTTTGAAATGTTTAAAATACAATTATTTGTCCGGTTAGTGAACTTGCAGTTAATTGCAAATCATCGTATTTGTTCTATTAACAAATTCTATCTGGGTATTCAACTGACCTTAATTTCTGCACGTATTACTTTTATGTTGGATGGTTGGCTTTTATTAATGTTATATGTTTTTAGATTATATTTAAGAAAAATGTATACGAAATAGGATGTGAGAAGCGGGCTCAAGTAGATTCAGGGCATTCCATTGGGCCCTCTCATCATGATGGACATGATGAGGAGCGTCGTCAAAACTAAAAGAGGTGATAAAAACTTTCTTTAAAAACCTTCTTCAGGACATTCGGCGTTTGTCTTACCAATGAAAAAGTTGAATGCACGTCCGGGTCACTAGTTCTGGATGGAAATGCTATGGTATCCCTCAAATTCAAAATGGTCAACAACGTGTGGGTCCGCAAGGATGAGGAGGAGCACGAGGGAGGTGATGCCGATATGGGAGAAGCTTGGAATACAATCCAGAACTTGGAATACCTAATCTAGTCCATGGACCGGATGCATACACGGATGGACGTGTAAGAGACCAGGCAAGAGGAGCTCCACACTTGCTTCAACAGATTTGAGACTCACCAAACAAGAATGGAGGAGCAATTCCAAGACTATGATAAAAAAAATTTTATGTACTTGAGACTAAAAATTCTATTCCAGAGGCTTTATTGCAAGCAGATTTGCAACCTTACAAGGATACCATTCTAGCCTTCCAGAATGTAGTCGGGTTTTACTCGATTAAGGAGCGGGATATCAAGCTCTATCAGACTCAAGCTGTTTTAGGTTCAGAATCTTCGGGAGATAATTTGGATTTTAATGCGGTTTCAAATGAAAGGTCTTCCGGATATGACTCAGATCAAGAGCCGCTTTCTCGACTAAGTGATCCTAATTATAAAACGGCTAATCAACTTAAGTTTAGACGAATCGATCGACTTCAAGCTAAAAACGGGATCAAGGGTGTGAATCATTAGTGTGTTATTTCAATAACTTTATGTTATTTCTTTAACTTTCTATCTTCATTAGCGGTTATACTCTTTTCTATACCTTAATAAAACTTTTATTTTTGCTAAAAAAGAAAGTATCTTTCTAGCATCATGGTCAAAATTATCACCTTATTGGTAGCTTAATATCCACATTAAGATTTCCTAACTATATATATATATATATATATATATATATATATATATATATATATATATATATATATATATATATATATAATATGTGTGTGTGTGTATGTGTGTGTGTGTAAATATGATGCACAAAATAAAGTTCAAAACGTGATGAATTCTTTCTTGAACTTTCATCCAAAAGTCAAACATGACAATACTACATGACTTCTCATGCAATGACTATCAATAAAAGTTGATGACCAACACTCTCATGTCCATGTGGGCTGTGGCCTATTGTTTGGAAGATTATATATACTACCTATTGTTTTTAAGTCAACGATGAGAGTCGTGATGGTTAATACAGGTAAATTGCCCTAAATTAGAGTAAACAACTTTAGGAATTATTCCAAAATAAGACTATGTTTTTCTTTCCAAAATAAGAATCATTACTTTCATGATTGAAATATACTGTCATTAATTATAATAAATATTGTCATGTTGAATGGACAGTACTGCAACTATTTGACAGTAATGACTAAAAGATGACCGTAAATACTGTCATTTTATTCGTATTTCGTAAAGAAAAACATAATAGTCCTATTTTGGAATTTCATTAGTCTTATTTTTGTAAATCTCCCTACTTAATAATCATGTATTATATTCTTATATTGAATAGTTTTGTGATTATTTGTGGTCAATTATGTGTGAAATTTCACGCAAAATTCCAAACTCCATAGTGGAATCACATTAGAATTTAGACTGCATAAAGTTTTTGGTATAATAACATATCTAACTTGTATACGTACACTTGATGAATGTTGTAGTAGGGCTGGAACCAAGAACGGGACTGAACCGTTATGATCCGATTCGGTTCCAACATTTATTAGTTATTTGTTGATGGTTCGGTTCATATTTTTTATTAACAGTTCGGTTCTCGGTTCTTGAAAAAATATGTACCTAGAACCGTTAAGGAACCGTTATATATAATAATTAAAATTTTATATATTTCTTATTAGTATATAATCCGTATATTGTAATGTATATTTACTTATTTGTTTTTATAATACATTCACTATTTTAGTTTAATTATTTAAATATTTAAAATTATTGACTTGCAAAAACAAAGTATTTAAAATTATTATTCATTTTAACCGGTTCTCTTGGGCTTCTTATGCCTCTCAATCTCTCATTAGGTCCAAATTAAAGTTGAAATTCCAGAGGGTCGAAAGGTCACTCACGACATATTAAGCAAAAACCCTAATTAATTTTTATTATTTTGTCTTCTCTGTGGCTTCGACAACCAGCTCTCATTGGTAAGCTTCATTCGCTTTCTATTTTATTACTACATCCGTCCCGCAAAGATGTTCACAGTTTGACTTACACACATATTAAGAAAATAAACTTACCAGGGGGTAAGTTTTACTGTTTTGACACTGTTTCGACACTGTTTGACACTGTTTAGACATTGTTTGACACTGTTTTGCACTGTCTGGCACTGTTTTGATGTAGGATAACTTTCCATTTAGGGAAAGGGGAACTTCTTTTTGGGACTGCTAAAAAAGGAAAGTGGGAACTTCTTTGCGGGACGGAGGGAGTATATGAACTTATTTTGTTTTTTTACTAAAATTTCCAGTTTGTTATGTATTTATGTTTTAAATGATGTTCAGCATATTTGTATCGTAATTCCGAACTAAGAAGGTCTTTTGGCACAAATTTAACCGTGGTTTGTAAGAAATTTTTTAAAGACTGGGAACGTTAAATGACAAAAACTGAACCGTTACGAATGGTCCGGTTCCTTATCGGTTCCATAAAATAATTTATAAGAACCGAACTGTTAATAAAATTTCATATTTTCAAACAGTTCCACATATTTTTCTTAGAAACGGAACCCATTTCAGTTCAGGCCACTCTTTTTTTTATTCTTTCTTTCTCTTTCAGATACGTAGTACTCCGTATAAAATTAGAAGAAGAAAAAACAAAAAAAAAAAACTTTATTTCAGCTAGTTAGCCTCTTGTCCTCATAATAGTGATCGTTCCTCTACCCCGAGTCTGAATTCTAGTTAAAGCCACCACGGCCTTGCCGGACAAGCCAGTTCCGACCGGCGAACTCCGCCGTCGGCAAGCAAAGTCTCCGACCGGATGCTTTACTGGCCTTGTCGGCGGCATCAGAATCCTCTCGTTGATGTCGTTCAGCGTGACGTCCCCTTCCGTCCCTCCCGGCTTCACCACCGCGAACGGGTACACCAACTTCGCCGTCGCCCTTTTCCTCGGTCTCCGAACTCCGTCGCTTCCTGCCCGGATTAGTTACACAACGTTAGTCTCCGGTTTAGGAAATCAAAACGAGAAAAAGTACAAAAAAAATGGAGATGGGCCACGCAGATTCGATCAGTAAAAAATCTTCAGAAATGGTAAAGGGGACGGGCCAGGAAACTTACCGGCGGCGGAAAAAGACGGCGAGTCCACGGAAGGTGGGGGCTGTATATTGTTATAGCATTTGGAGGAAGAAGATAAAGAAGAATCGCTGTGTGCTGCAAAAGCTGAGATGGCTTCTGCATCTGGTTTCCTTTTCATATCTGTAAAAAAGATGGGAGTAATTCTTTTAGAAAATTCATAGGATTAAATTGTAATCAAAATTCAATTTATCATTATTTATTAGAAAAATTAGATTCATTCACTTTTAATTAGCAAAGTCTTATGTTTTCATAGGCTCAAATAATCCCATTTTGGAAATAAAACATAACAACTCTTATTTATGTATACTTTGACTATATTTTAAATAGTCTTATTTGGAATAGTTTATGTACTTCTTTCATACTCCCTCCGTAACAAAAAAAATCTTTTCACTTTCCTTTTTCGTTCGTAACACAAAAAAATCTCATTTCTAAATCTTCTCATCATACCCTCAATAATTTAGAAAATAATACATTATTCCAACTACTTTTTTTGGATTTATACTACATTCCATCACATTATTTTACTATCTTCCCATCATAGCGTCAATAATTCATATCCTCTCTCATTATTCTTAATCTGCCTACTTTTGAAATGAGAACATGTTTAAGTTAGTGAGGGACTATATGCTAACTCTCCTCTCATGCTAACTCTCCTCTCATACTAAAGCCAATCCTACTAAATTGCACGTGGGAATAATATTATTTGTTTTTTAGTCACAGACGTAGTCACGGATTTGTCCGTGACTGATTTAATCCGTACAAAATACCGGTGCAAAATAAATTCGGAGCGGTGAAAATTAATTTTTTTAGTCACGGACTTAGTCACGGATTTGTTCGTGACTAAGTGTAAGAATAATTGGTATCACGCCGGAAACGGAATTGGGGCTACCGGAGGATTGTAGTCACGGACTTTAGCCGTGGCAACTCTTAGTCACGGGCCTAGTCACGGACAAATTCGTGACTATCTTTTTTTTAATCTATGACTAGTCCGTAACAAACTAGTCACGAACAGAATCCGTGACTAAAATTTGTGACTACAAGCATGTTTTTTTGTACTGACACAACTATCATCTCATGATTCAAATGATTGAATCTTTGTCTTATACGGAGTAGTATATAACTGTAGTAAATAACTACGTAGTATATACCAGTAGTATATAGTACGGAGTATAAACTTTACCTCTTTAATTCTGTATTTTTTTTGTTTTTTTTTGTCTTTGATGTTGATGAATTTCATGAAAAAGGTGCAATCCTGAAATAGAAATAGTCCAAAATAAGATTAAAACAAATGTAAAATTCCAAAATAGGCTGCGGAAAAAGTAATTTTTCTTCACAAATAGGGCCTTTTAATATCTTTTTGACAGTAAAAGAATAGGACCTCAATTTTAATCCACAAAATGGAACCTTTTAATTATACTTTATACGTAATACTCCGTATGAAATAAAATAGGCCTTTTCCTATGAATATTACTTTAAAATTTTACTCCATATTATTTTAAAATTTTCTAAAAAAGTGACATATTCGGTGACTAATTTCTCAGTTACGTATTATCGATCAGTGATTTGTAATTTCAAAATACACTATAATGACTCTTATCTAATTACTCGTATACAACGACTAGTCATATTTTTGTCCAGAAAAACACTATTAATGATATACTCCCTCTGTCCCATAAAATTCTTCCCACTTTCCTTTTCTGGTCGTCCCAAAAAATTCTTCTCACTTACCATTTTTGGACAATTTGTGTGGTTTACTGGTTTACATTCATTTCACATTTTTCTTACATAACTACAACCATGCATTTCCACTTTATTCCACTTTCTTGATATGCGTGTCAAGTCAAATTGGGAAGAAATTTCTACGACGAATAGTTACTTTTTCAATAAAATATACTGTGCGAAAAAAAAAAGGATGACACCCCATCTCTGAGGGCCCCCCAACACCGACCGAACGGTACGATGGAAGGATGTAAATTGGACTATAATCACAATCTGGCAGATAGATAGTGAGACTCTGTCTCGAGATTCGAACCCGAAACCTAACCCTTGTGGAACTCCCTTGCTACCAGAGCTACGTCCACGGGTATAAAATATACTGTGCGAGTCTGTGTGAAGTGTGAAGTGTGTTTCGTCTCAATTATTGCACTAATGCAGTCAACACATGATGTCAGCAAATATAATGTGCGTACTGCGTAGTAGTCCAAAGCCAAATTTTTGTTCCACCGTACTGGACGCCATATTTTTTCAGTATAATACAAGAACGTATCTTTTGCTTTTATTTTTTGCTTTTTAACTTAATTTGAAATTTTAGTTAACTAATCGGAGTATGTAAATATGAACTGGCATGACCTTTACTTATTAAAAGTTCTCAAAGTGATCTGAGTGTGCTTTAATTACTTCTATTAAAAACAGAAATTAAGTGAAATATAGAACCAAAGAAATTCAAATAGTGATTAAAGATAAAACTATCATCAATACTTATAGAAATGTGGTATTAAAATATACCCTACTCTAGTAAAAAAAATTAGCAACCCATGTGCTTTGATTCTATTTGTATAACTAATTAAACTTTTAAAAATGAAGTGGAAGATTCCACCAAAGTTAAATATAAGCCATTCTTTAAATTTAAAAATAGAGTGTTGCCTCTGGTGGGCCTTCCAGACGGTGATTACGGTCCCAAAGTAATACTACCTCCGTCCCATATTTATCTTCATAGTTCGGTTTACGTTGTTTGACTGACGATAAAGCAACACGATCCTAGTTCACACTCGGATTATTTTTAGTAAATAAAATTTACATATTCAGAAACTACATTAAACCCGCTACAAAGCCTGATCAAGAAAATTTAAGTTTGATAAAAATTTGATATATAAAGTAAAAGATTAAGAGTAATTTGAGTTGACCATGTGAATAGTAACTATGAAGATAATTTTGGGACGGAGGGAGTATCCAAGTCTAGTCTTTCATATATTACCAACTAATCACTAATTATTTTAATTCTAAATAAATACATTCTATACTAATCATTAGTGTGAGTAATTAATACTTGGTAATACTTGTACGGAATACTCCCTCTGTCCCATTTTACTTGTTCTACTTTCCTTTTTATGTTGTCCCAAAATAAGTGCTCATTTCCTCATTTACTTGTACGAAGTATATGATTTACACTATTTCACTTTATTATACTTAAATCTTAACCATAACTTTTACTTTGTCAATCACTTTATTAATAACTGAACCAAGTTTAAGTGAGACACATAAAATGGGATAGAGTACTACGGAGTACTCCCTCCGTCCCCTTTTAAATGTCCCGGAAGAATGTGACCCGAGTTTTAAGAAAAGTGAGTTTGTGTGATTGATATTAATTGATAAAGTAAGAATAAAGTAAGAATGATTTTGAGCCACATAAACTTTACCAAATAAGGTATGAGACAATTAAATAGGGACATCTCAACATAGTAAAATGGGACATTTAAAAGGGGACGAAAGGGGTATAATTTAGTAAATGTTCTTAGCTTGGCCGCTAGGTAAGGAATATTTGTTCGATCTAGACTGAGCTGACTAGACTAGCTGATGAAAATGGTGGAGCTGAAATTAAACTTTAATTTAATTCGTATGATTGAGACCCTTCAGTGTTACGTTTTGACCAGCCACCAACCGAATAAGAACTTTAGTTTTACGAATAAAAGTTTTACAAATAATTCGTATGTCGCGTCACTCGTTTAGACATTCAAATGTTATTGTCTGTGTATAGACAATTATGTTTGAGTTTTACTAAAGCGAAATGTTTGTAATTTTAAAAAGTTAATTGTCAATACATAGACAATTACACTTGGTTGTATAAGCCAGTGTATAATCGGGTGTGTACATGAAGCAAAACTCTAAAAACAGCAAATTTGCCTACACTCCAAAAATGTTCAATTTGTTATTTTTGTCTATGTATGTAATTCACATTAATCATTGCTGGCAGGGATTTCAACATCCTTCGTATAATATTAAACCCTAATCATATCTTTATATATTCAAAGTAAATTCACTCAACAGAGACTTCATATTCAAGCGGTCTATTGGTCTAGTTTAATTTGTCCTAAAAGTATTAGTTTTAATTTCTACACTACTCAAGCTGCAATATTTTTTTCTGAAAAAATTTGATATAGTAGGGCAAAATACTTTTCAAATGCAATTGAAGAAGTATATATAATACTTTAAGTTCATGCATATTATATAAACTTGTTCATGTTCGATCATGAATTAATGCATATAAACTGATGGTCACGTATTATTAGCAAGTGATAATGACCTGAAATGTGATCACATTTGCTTATCTCCCTCAGGTTATCGTAATTCTCATAACAATAATCCAGCTTTATATTGCCATCATCCAGGCAGCTCTGCATCAAACATAACCAATCATCCAAGTTTGTGATAATGTGACAACTTCAATTCGGTATTCGGCGAATCAATTTTTAAAAAAACGGTCTCAAAAACTCGATCAATAATTATTAATTAATTCACTACAATATATATATATATATATATATATATATATATATATACACTAGTATATGAGATTGGCAATGATTATTTGGCATGATGATTGATGATTTCTTGCAAAATCATTCATGACGAAATGCTTTTGACATGAATTTCGTGTATCCATGCCAAATTAATCTGTCAATCCTGTTATAGGCACAATCAAATGATTCTAGAAATTCTAAAAGTTTATACTACCTCCATCCCAAATTGATTTGCAAATGTGATATTTCTCGGTCAAACAGTTTCATTTTATTTGCTAATTAGGATGTCAATTTTTAATTATATTAATTTGGAGTTTGCAACTTTGAAGATATTTTAATATAGTTTCTGAATATGTGAATTTTAACTATTAAAAATTGAGTTAATTATTGATATGAATGATTGACTTTTATTATTGGTTGACCAAAAAATGTTGACTTTGCAAAACAATTTGGGACGGAGGGAGTATATAGAACGAAATTAGATTAGTATTATAATTACACTATAAGCTAGCTAGGTAATTGTTACCCAAAGAATATTCAAGTCTGTGGGTCCTTGATCATCATCATCGAACAGTAAAAACGTCTTCTTCCTCCTCTTTGCGTTGTAGTTAAACAAAGCATCCTCCAGGTACCCTGTCGACAAGTCGTCCGAGTCCATGTCCGAGAAACACGGCGGCGTGTTCTCTATTCCTGTACGTACGTACGAACGAATTCATTAATTAATTAAATAATTTATTTATTTATTTATTACTATGTACAGTATATGTTTAATTTACATTAACTTTTTTTTTAATTTAAAATCTTTGATACTCCGTAATATACATGCATGTCCATATTTTTTGTATAGTTTTATGTGTGTACGTGGTTTTCAACGAAAGTAGGTACGAATTAAAAAAGGTATCCATTCATCATAGTGATTTGAATGAATGGTTTGACTCATCATGACCGTTAAATTCAATCTCAAATGGTTTGACTCATCATAGATACTGACTCTACAATATGCAGGGGCGGATCGTAGTACAGACCAGGGGACGGTCGCCCCCCAACAACAAAATTTTTAGTGTATGTATATAATAAAAAATAATTTTCGTCCCCCCAAAAAATATTTTGTTTAAGTTACCGCCCTCTCAAGAAAAACTTCATGGGTCCGCCCCTGACAATATGTGATCATGCATTACAAATTTAAACAAATAATATATTGTTGTATGAAAGAATTGTAAAGTTTTTGAACACACCCCAATTGCCTGTCTATACAACCAATTGGGCTATACAAATGGTTCTCTAAAAAATTCAGTAATTAATTGCAATTGTCTGTGTACACAAAAATATGTACAAAAAAACATAAATGTTTTGTACAACAATACACAATGTAATCAAATATGTGCTCAATGTAATCAAATCATGACTAGAGCCACTAGAATGACCTTTAATTCCCAATTTGACACTTTTTGAGTTGAAGTTTGACTCTAAATATATACACAAATAGAATCACAAAATCTATAATATTTATACGAGCAATATAAATTGCAATGAAAAAATTAATTTATAAATTTTGATTCAAAATGTTAAATGAGGAATTCAATCGTGGGACCACGGCGATAATAATAACTGCTTAATTGTATGGTGTAGATAGGCGAGGAGGAAGATCAGATGAATTACCGGGAGAGGGAAAGAAGGTGGGATTGACGGCGGCGAGGTCCCAAGAACCTCCTCCGCCTCTGAAGGAGGAAATGGTGGCCGTACTATAATCGACGCCGTGTGGATTGCTCATTGTTTTTTGTCAATGGGGTACAGCAGCACTACCCCGCGATGTGGTATTTATAAAGAAACAAAACAAAACAAAAGTGCATGTGGGACCAACAAAATCGTACTATCCCAACAAAATCGTACTATCATGCACTTGGTCTCTTCTTTTTGGGTGAGCATTTATAATGAGTAAGGGTCAAATAAGTCTTTATATAGAAGATTCTGTCCGGACGTGTCATTTGAGGCGGTTCCCGGTGGAATTTTTTGATGAAATTTTTTGAGCATCTTATTCATTAAGTGTAGTTCACTCATACCAACTTTCAGATAAAAATTCAACCGGGAAGGCATTCAAATGAATTCTTGAAGATAACTGTACAGTTAAAAGCGCAATTATGTTCAAGAATTCATTTGAATGTCTTCCCGGTTGAATTTTAAGCTGAAATTTGGTATGAGTAAACTAGACTTAATGAATAAGATGCTCAAAAAATTTTATCAAAAAATTCCACCAAGAACTTCCTTAAATGGAACTTCCGGACAGAATCTTCTATATAAGGACTTATTTGACCTCTTTTATGCAACTTCGAGGACCAAACTGACCCTTTACTCGATTTATAATGTGGGAAATTCTTGGTGTACATGTTCTTATACACGCCAGTACACCTCCGTGTCTGTGAGAGATTTTTTTGTTTGTGAATGCCAGTTCACAGATAAAAGCTCTCCCTTTTGTCTGTAGAATTATCCACAGACAAAACAAGCCGTTTTTGTCTGTGAACAAGAATTCACAGACAAAAAAAACTCTCACAAACACGGAGGTGTACTGATGTGTATAAAAACGTGTACAAAAGGAAGTTTTCTTATACTTTTTTTGAGTTTGGTTAGATGTACACATTTTGGTCTACGTCTTTCCTACACCCGTCTGTCGCACGTATAAACAATTGTTTGTCCACAGACAACTATACAAAATTGTGTGTACACAAACAATTGTTTGTGTTTGAGATAGACGAGTGTACGAAAACATTTTTCAATGTTTTTTACTTTTTGTTTTTAAATTCAACTTCAGTTATCTTTGTTCCAAAAGGTTGAATTTTCAATTCCAAGAGCATCATATCATGACCTAGCAAGGTATTTGAGAAAATGTAAGTAAAGTGAATCAGTAAGCTCTATAGTGGGTTTCAATCACACAACCGTTATGGGTTTCGATCATTGTTCAATGTTCTAACTTTTCCACCACTCAACCAACTCAGCTACATGTATTTTTTAATAGTAATTGCCCTAAATACGACTAAAACTTGGCTAAACAAAATACAAATAGGACTAAAGCCCTAAATCATTCACAAATAGGACATAACATTAATTTTCTACAATAAATACACCTAAGGGTATTAATTCATAATGAAGTGTTTTGATTCATAGTGTATATTTTTTTAAATTAATAAAAAAAAATGTAAAAAACAATAATAAAAATGGATGCATTTCCCATCACCTCTACCGCCACCGCCTCCCATCATCACTACCTCCAATCAGTGAAAAATGTCACCTTTTCTAAAAATGCCAAGAAAATGACATTATTACTCTTGATAATGACAAAATTTTCATTGAAATTGCCATAAATATGGCATTACTAATGCATGTTGGTTTTTTTCTCTGATGATAAGATCTGGTGGTGTTGGGGTGGCAGAAGCGACATTGTATTCTATTTTTTTAACGTCTTTTTTAAATTAAAAAAAAATTGGTGATTTTTATTTTATAAAAAATTTATTAATTTTTATTATTCTATACGATTTTATTATGAATTAAATATTTCAAAAGTTACAAGGGTATATTTGTCCAAAAACACATAAATAGCCCTAGTTGTGATTGTTGGCTATCTTTTAGTATTAGTTAGGTAATTCTCTAATTTTTTTAATTGTTGAAGTTTTGTTTAAACTAGTCTAGAATTGAAATCATACCAAATAAAAACATTTTTAGAGACATTCTGTTTCTTACATTTTTAATGGTGACTCATGATTTATGTTTAACAGTTTTATTAGATACTCCGTAACTTTTTATCAAGCATGTACATCTTGATTTCACGGCATGAATGTATCATAATCAAAAGTAAGGTTAAAGTTAGTTTTACGGAGCATATATGACTAATTTGACTATCTTTTCATATATTTTTTTATTATAAATATATTTTTAATATAATTTTTCAATAATTCATGAGATTTCTCTTCCTTCCTCTCATAATTTTGCATTTTTCTAATGATATATTCTTGGTTTAATTTGACAATTTACTCTATTCATATAAGTTCTCATATTATTCCAAAAAATATATAAGTTCTCATATATTAACATGGCAAAATTTGTTGTTAGAAATTGCCTTCATATCGTTTTGTACATTCAAAATGTTAAATAAATTACTTACAAAATATTTTTTGACAATCAAATATCTAACTGTGCATTAAATGATTGCAAACAAACATAAAAATGAATAGTCTAAAGCTGCATCTGGATAGAAATACACAACTTGTAGACATCGTCAGGAGAAGTACTTATCTCACGCTCATTTGAAGCAGACAAAATTCTTAATCAAAGGATAAGACGGGCCAAAACCATAACTCTCCAAGATAGAAATTAGAAATCGAATAAAAACTGAAGCATAGTAAAACCCCTTATTCTCCAAGGAAGATGTTAATGCGGGCTACCTATGAAGCACGGATACTTCACTAGGGTGCTGCATCGGCGTATCGGAAACGTCCCCATATCTGATACTCTAGGATACCCGTACCGTACGTTCTCGGGCCGTATCTGCAATTTTTAAAAGTTTCCATTTTTCTTGGTAATTATTTTAAAATTTCGGATACTCGTATCCTGACAGATACCAGTATCAACTTTTTAAAAAAAAAAAAAAAACATTAAAAAAACACTCAAAATTTACATAATAAAATTCTTAAAAAATGAAAAGCTAAATATAATTTTTACCTTGCCTATTTCTAATTCACCCATCCTCCTATCCCTAATTCTAATTATCTCAGGAAATTAATAGCTCCAACGGAAATATGTATTAGAACTTTTAAAATATTGTTTTCTATCTTCATTATTCTAGAACTTTGAGTACTTGCACTTTTAATTCCAAAATTGTAGTTGTTTGACTTATTTCTCATTTTAAATTAATGACTTATTGACTATATTTATATTTCGAGGTGCACTAGTGTATATGAGATAAAATATGAACTTATTTCTATTGAACTTTTAAAATGCTTCAATGCCATGAATGAGTAGACGTCGGAGGATAATATATATCTATTTTTCCCCAAAAAATTGCATATTTAATATTTATAAATACACCCCTGTAACTTTTAATATTTATAAATACACCCCCAGAACTTTCAATATTTATAAATATGGCCCCGTATCCGTATCCTACTTTTTTTGTTTTGTCATATCCTCGTACCCGTTCCCGCGTTTCAGCATTTCCGCGTACCCGTATCGGTGCTACATAGCCGACTACAAATCCCTTTGCGGCTGCCGATTGGAGAAAAGTTGGGATACCTCCTAGGGATTACTGAGGCCCACTCTCAAAATTGCTTACAAAAATTATGAATCGTTATTAATTTTAATTGTAATAATACATACTTCTCCCTGTCTCAAATTGATTTGCACATACAATATTTTTTGTCAATCAATATTTAATCCTCCATATTAATAATTAATTCAACTTTTAATAATTAGAATGTGCATACTTATAAAATACATTAAAATATATTCAATATTGAAAGCTTCAAATTAGAATATAATTAGAAATTTACATCCTAGTTAAGTGAAGAAAAGTGATCCTATTTGATCGAAAAAAGTCAAATTTGTAAATCAATTTGGGATGAAGGTAATATCATATTATCACCGCTACATTGGACTTACATGTTCACTAATTATGTGGTCACTATAATTACATTTTTACTCTTTAATTTTCGGAATTAAGATTTTTTATTGTAAAAGAAAACTACTTATAGTGTAATTTTTAATATCTTAATTCCAAATACTAAGAATAATGTAAATACAGTCAGTAAGGAAATAATTTATAATATGAGAACCATCCTAATAAAAGATAACTGACCATGTCCAATAGACTGTATTGGTTGATTCTGCTGAAATTTATAAGTTTTAACTGAAATGGTTGGATTGGTTGATTCTGTTGTTTTATAAAAAAAATTGTATGAAAAATTAGTTAAAATAATCTTTCACAGTAATTTCGGCCAATATAGTCAGAAAACTAACTTCAACCTTACTTTTTTTTATTATTACAAATTCAGCGTGTGAAATCAAAACTTACGTGTTTGGTGAAAAATGACTGATAAGCTTGATAAGCCGAAAAACATAGTAACCAAACGGTTGCAAGAGTATAAAGTTATCATCTATTTGAAGTTCTAGTCATTTTAGTAACTTCTTTTTTACTTACCACTTTACCAGCCAATTATTGTTTAAGTAATTGTCCTATGTAGGACTAATTAGAAACATAAATGCACAAATAGGACCAAATGCTTTTAATTCCCTAAATAGGACTCCGGTTTACCATTATACCCTCCTATATAATAAATTGAAAACCCTAGGCTTCTAACGATTTCACGCTGCATTCTCTCTCTGCGGTTACCTTCCCTGCGCCTCACCATCATCATGTCGTCCATGCTCTTTGCCGCCGCCGATTCTCCAGCGCCACCACCGCCTCTCGACGCCGCATCTCTGCGTTGCCTCTTCTTCCTCCATTAACGGCGATCTTGGGCGGATTCTCGGTATCTTTTTCTCCTTTATCTTCTTCTTCTTCTGTTTCTTTTTCTTCTTCTTCTTCTCCTCTTGTTCTTCCTTCTCCTCGCCCCCCTCCTTTATCTTTTTCTTCTTTCTTCTCCTCCTTTGTTTTGCGTCTGCAAAACACATTTTGTCCTTTGATTTTGTTATCTTTTGGAAGAAATTTTCCAATTTCAGGAGATTTCTGAGTTTTAGCAAATTTCTTTTATCAAATTTTAGGAATTTTCTATGTATTTTTTATTCAGATTTCGTTTTATCCTCAT